CCGGCGCTGACAGCGAAAATACCCCATCGCTTCCATCCTAAGAGGCAGAATGCTGCCCTCTCGAAGTCTCCGGGACGCAACGACTTCGCGGGGTCAACAGACGGCGACCCTGATCATCCACGAGACGAGGTCTTCTTCCTTGGACGGAAGGGCGATGATGTGTACTTCTGTGAGAGGAGATATGGCGCTTTCCGAGTTCTCAGGATTTCCCCGCTATCATCTGCCGCGTAAAATAGCTGGTGCTGATCACGTTCTCTTCTCTGTGTTTCCTGTTGGTGATAGCTGCTTTATTTTTCTTGCACGCAAGTTAGACATGTCCCGGACCCTCATTGCCACTGTCATCGTCGCATCCATGTTTATACCACGCAATACTTCTATCTATATATTATTCTACATAATTGTGCAATAAATTACACATTACTGTAAGATGAGGGAAACCGACGTATCTGATTATACTCGAGCTCATTGACAAGAAGACACAACTAGCAATTCTACTATAGACAACATCCTACGAGAGCTGTCTCGCCTCTTTGACGGATTTCGCCCAAGTGTACACATTCTCTTTCTCCACCTCTAACCCATGCTCAGAGCGCAAGTGTCTACGGAAATCGTATGCGCGAGTAAAAACATACTCGCACCGCTTGTCGCCACCTTTCACCTGATAGACATCGGGAATGAGACCGTGCAGGTCAGGAAAGGGACAGCAAAGGCTGCGCGGAGATGTCATCTTCTCTTGCGCACGTTTGACGTAGGACATTCCGGTGATATCGTCCACGCGTACTCCCCACAACTGCTGGGGATCACTTTCTGTTCCACTTGCCTCGGAATCATCAGCTGATCCATCTTCAACCTGGTCAGCCTTGTGTATCTTCCCGAGGTGACGCTGAAGAAGATGCTTGTAGCCGAATGCACGTCCACAGGACTCGTGAGGGCAGATAAAATTGCGGTGTCCAAGATGGTTGACGTTACGATGGTTTGTTAGCGCTTTTTTCTGCGACATATCACTCAATATACGCAACGTCCATACTATGAATGCTCTTACTGATTTAAAGTCCTTCACGCACCCCTCAGCGTCGCATTTCCAGTCACGGCCAATCTCACCACCCCTCCGCTTTTTGCGAGGCGGCTCACTAAAGATACTGTCCGCGTCGGAGTCAGCCGCAATGGCTTCTTCGACCTCGATCTGTTCATGAAGTTTCATGTGCGCCCGCAGTCCCCTCTGAGATTTGAACGTTTTGCCATTGCAAGACGAGCGAGGGCACTTTGGTGGGTGATCGGTGCGCATATGATGCTGGAGAGCTGTCCAGGTAGGGTAGTACGCGGGCGAGTTGTTCTGACTCGCGAGGCAGTCCGCATGAACGCACGTATATCTCTTCTCTGCGTGCAGGGACATGAATGTTGGTCAAGTTAGTGATGCTGTCTATTGACGAACCGTCATGAGTTCTCATGTGCCCACGTAACTTCTGATTCGTGAGGAAAGACTTATCACAACCTGGATGGCTGCAACGATACGGCTTTGCACCAGGAGGCGCATGTGCTGAGCATATGTGCTCTCGCAATTGATGGTGCTTCAAGAATGCGGCTTCACATGAAGACTCTATACACTTAAGCCGAAAGTCTTAGAACGCCATACACCCCTTGCAATCAAAGAAGACGCACCTTGAAGGGTTTATTGCCTCTATGGAGCTCGCTATGCACACGTAGATGCTGTGCAGTCCAAAAGCGTTTCTCACAGCCGGGCTCTTCGCAGACCAGGGGCCTGGAGGAGTTAGGAAGATGTGAACGAGCGTGGGCTTGGAGGTGTGCTTCTCGAAGATAACTCTTGTTGCAATTGATACATGTGAATGGGCGCTATAAAGGTGTTCGCCATGTTCTTGGTTAATGGAAAAAGTCACTCAACGTACGACTCCGGTGTGAGATCTCTCGTGCTCCGCTAGACGACACGGTTTAGCATACGCTTTCGTGCATCCCTCGTGACTGCACTTGTAGCGCCTTTCCCGCCCACAGAAAGAAGAGGGCCCTCCGTTTGGTGCGCCGGCCTCGTACTCTGATTCGGTATGCGGCTCGACGCCAGAAAGAGACGCAGTTTCAAGACGTAAAGAAAGCTCGTTTTCGGTTTTGCGTGCTTTACGCTTCCTGAGCACTACGGACGTCGTTGCCACTGGGGGAGTAGTAGTGGAAGCCATGACAAGCTAGATGGCTTCGAATTAGGCCCCAAATTACCCAGATGAAAAGAGAGCCTCAGAGCGGAGGAGAAATTTTGAAAGTTGTTAGCGCGGCAAACTAAGTAAGCCGGAGCGCGTCATTTGCCCTTTTGGGATGACCGATGCTTCAGCTGTTTGCGCTGGTGGTCGTTTCCTCCGATTAACTGAGAACCTTATACACATCTTGCGTGTCATTCTCCCTTTAAAGAGTTGTATAATTGAAATACACATAGAGGACTCGTAGTATGTCTCCTTGCTGTTTTGTGACCCGTCTTAATCGATAATCACTGAACGTAACGTGCTAATAAGCAGAAGCCACAGAATGCGCGGAGGCTGGTATAGGCTGGCGTAGCCTTTGCTTTGCGCCCCCGGCATGTATACGATGTATTGCATAGGAATTACCCTATGGATAACATCCGACTGTCCCACGGAGCATCCGTGCTGCCCAGCCGCGGTCAGCCACGCGCCGTCTCGAGACTATCCGTCGACCGGAATGCTCTAAGGTTGCCTGCCCTCCACCATACGTCTATTCCAAAGCTAGTCTTTGGCTGGTCTTTTCTTCCTTCTGTTTCTACGCTCAAGATGGCTCTGAGGGTACTGGTGACCTCTCTCCTTCTGAATCCAATCATCGGAGCTACTGGTAAGAGCCACTAGGATCCCCATTCGCTTCAAACGCTTACGCAATAACTTGTAGCCGATATAAACGACTGGGTCAACGTCGACTATGTGTTAAGTCAATCCAATGGAAAGACGAATGGTGCGACCGCCAATGCGCAAAACGCCATCGCATCGAAAGCCGCAAGCACAGCTAAGAACGGCCCGTGGAGTAAATCCATTTATTCCCCCTTCAGTTTGCTTCCATTCACGAATATCTCTTTAGTCATCGCTACCAAAGGCATCAACCCACCGAGCGGCGACCCTCGTGACTACTTGAGTTGGGCACCGTAGTAAGTGAGAAAAAGGACCTCGATTCCATTGGCTGACTCATACTCTCTTCAAGTCATTGGCCAGACTGCAACTGGTGCTCGAAAGGTTCAACCCACTTCGTGTCGCCTAATTCCACGGACCCGGACTCTGACGACGGGAGTGACACGGATGACCCTGAACGATCTGACGACTCGATTAGCGACACGGCAACAGCTGCGAGCGACATTGAAGATCTACGAGCGGAAACAGTCAATGCCAATTTCCTCGTTCATGACGCTGGCTCGCTCCAATCGAGGACGAACATCTTTGGTTCACACCATCGCATGAAGCGCGTTCGTCGGTCTTCGCCGCACGGCAGCTCCTCATACGTACCACACTCGAATCATGCCCGCAGACAGGCATCCGTTCCGGATAGTACTACCACAGCCGTGCCGATACCCCCCATTCTGCCCACAACGATGCCTGAGTCTCCAACTACTGTTCCGCTTCCAGGGAGTACCACGTCTACGTCAAATCATGTTGTCGGTACGCAAGCTCCTGCTCAGGCACCGGCAGAAACTCAACAGAAGAAGACGTCGTGCACACCATCTCCAACTAAGAGCCTCGCTCCTAGTGCAAGTGAGTCCTAAGTCGTGATCCTGCGTATATGTACAATGTATATTGACATGCCTTTCGTGACAGCGTGGACAACGTGTCCATATGTTGTACGTGATGGAAAGGTCAATCCTGATACTGACGAGCTTGTCGGTCCTGATGCTGCACAAGACATGTCCCAGTCGGCCGTATTCAATGCTATCGCCTATGCGCTTCAGAAGAACCGAGCTTATTCGCAGAATGTCGCCAGCGCTATCGACACCTTTTTTCTGTCCTCGAGCACGGGCATGCATCCCAACGTGAACTTCGGGCAGCTCGTACGCGGACTCGGGAAGACCCATCAGGTCGGCACGTTCACGGGTATTCTCGATCTGCGGGGGATGGTTAAGGTTGTTAACGCGATTCAATTGCTGCGAAGCACGAAGAGCCCGGACTGGACCTCCACCAGAGAACAATCCATGATGACTTGGACGCAGAACTACGTTTCATGGCTACAGAACAGCGACCTTGGGAAGGAGGTCTCGACCAAAGCCAAGTGAGCGCTGCTAGTGTTGCGACACTGGGCGAAAGCTAACCATCGCCACAGCAACCATTTGACGTTCTACGTGAACCAATTGGCTTCCACGAAGATGCTCACGGGCGATACCAAAGGAGCAGCGACCGTCCTGCAGAATTACTTCAACAACCAGTTCCTGGACCAGATTTCGCAGTCTGGCGAGCAACCATTTGAGGCCGTTCGGACCCGTCCTTTCCATTATCGGTGCTTCAATTTGGAGGCGATGATCGTGAGTCTCTTCTGTTGTATCGTAAACGGCATGGCAGAGATGTCTAATTTTTATTGTAGACCAACGCGAAGCTAGGCGACCAGCTGGGCCTAAATTTTTGGACAGCGAAGTCAAAGTACGGTGCGACAATCCAGACAGCACTCGATTACGCGATGTCGGTCAATCCTAAAGGCGAAGATGTCTCTGACATCTTTCCGCATGTCGCAACGGTCGCTGCAGCATATGGCGATCCCAAGGGGAAGTACGCGTCCTTTCTGCAGAAGTACATCAGCAGCTACCAATCGCAGCCGTTTTGGTTCTACGACCAGAGCGCCGCACTACCTAATTCGCCCGCTGGTAAGACTAGGAAACGCAGCGATGCTGCTCCCGTTTCCAAGCTGGAGTCTCCTACCGCGGCCAGCCAAGCTTCCTCTGCCGGACCGACGACTTTCGTGGACCCCGTGGAACCCGTAGCGACCCAGAACTCTACGATACCATTTGAATGCCCCGCAGTATTTAAGGATGCGCCCGCTGTGGAGCTTGAAGACGGGCTGTACGTTACTTGCGACCAGCTAAAGCCGTTCTTTGAGGCAGCCTCGATAGATACCAAGAACAGTGTATAGTCACTTCGTCTTCCAATGTAGTAAATTGTATTCGATTGTGCTCGTCCTGCAAAAGCCACGGCAGAGTCAGGGCCCGGGCCATGCGGCCCCGCCGCAGGACCCCGCGCAGCGTGTACGGTAGACGCCAGGTCAGACTCCTTGTCCTTGATCGTCATACCGTCTCACTCTTGTTTCTTCCTTCAATTCCTCCTCCGTTTTCATTGCTTTTTCACGGCCTATTAACGACATGGCTGACGCCTCAGGTTCCGCCGCTGATAAATCTGTTCAGGTTAAGCTCGTTCTACTTGGTGCGTTTCGTCGTGGGCGGTGTTATTGAGACTTCGTCCTGCTCCGGTCAGTACATTGCGAGCCATACTCACACATTTGATTGATCTAGGCGAGGCTGCTGTGGGGAAGTCTTCTGTAGTCCTCCGCTTCGTACGCGCCAAAATGTTCTCGCGATCCCGTAGCTCGTCACTCACTCCTCGCCAATAGGTATCAAACGAGTTCCAGGCGAATAAGGAACCGACAATCGGTGCTGCGTTTTTGACCCAAAAGTGTAGACTAGAGGACCGCGTTCTGCGCTATGAGATCTGGGACACTGCTGGACAAGAGCGTTTCCACTCTCTCGCCGTACGTTCACACGGATTCCTCAGCTGAATTTGCTCAGTGGCACATAACTCTACCTATAGCCCATGTACTATCGTAACGCGCAGGCCGCCGTCGTTGTCTACGACGTTACGAAAGCGTCTAGTCTCGAGAAGGCCAAGACCTGGGTCAAAGAGCTTCAACGGCAGGCGAATCCCAATATAGTCATTGCGCTCGCAGGCAACAAGGTTGATCTCGTCCAGCCATCACCATCGTTGTCCTCTTCCTCCAATGCTGATGCTGAAGACGAGGCGGATGATGCCACCGCCACGCCTGGAGAGGCCGCTGCTGGAGGAGAACCCGAGAGCTTGAGACAGGTCCCGAGAGAGGAGGCAGAGGCGTATGCTCAGGAGGCAGGCTTACTGTTCTTCGAGACTAGTGCAAAGACTGGCGAAGGCATTGTTGAGATCTTTACGGAGATCGGTGAGCCCATCTTATATCTACCAACTTCCAAGGTCGGTACTCATCTCGCTCAAATAGCCAAGAAGATACCAATCGACCAAATTATGGCATCCTCTCGTGGTGGCGCCGGCCGGGGAGGTGCTGCGGGCGGTCGTGCGGGCGATAGTGCTCAAGGAGGCAATGTGAACTTGCAGGAGAACCAAACTAAGGGCAAGGACGCCTGCAACTGCTGAGACTCCTTGCAATGCCTCTGCATACACGCACAGACCCCAGCTGACTTCTCCACCGACCGCATGCGTACAGCTTTCTTTTTCTATCGCTGTCATCTTCCTGATTCAACGCCCTTTGTTTCACCGGTACATGTATCCTATGATTTATTACATCTGGACATATTGACATACCCGCGTCAGCGAGAAACTACAGCTCGGCGTGTGAGCACAATTATCTACTCGGTCCCTGATTCCCTTGCCGGAACAAGATCAACATACGGCGGCGGATGAGTAACGGTCTCTTGATCATTGCTTGATGCATGTTCATCTGGCACACCATATGGCGGAGGGGCATGCTCATGAGATACCCCTGGCTGTGAGCTCATCTCGCTCGCAGCTGCATTTGACTGCGTAGGTGCTACTGCGGGGTGCATCAGAGGCGGTTGGCCGTGGTGAGCGTTCGGAGATCGGAACACAGAGTCGATGGACGGTGGGGGATCTGAGGGATCATCCATGGGTGGGGGTGGAGGCGGCGGGACTGCGCTTTCGGCTGAAGCGTCTGGGTGTTGCTCGAGTGCGAGCTCGAGTGCGTTCAGTGCAGACCTCCCGTCCAGCATCGCGAGGCTGGTGACATTCGGATCGCGCGTTGCCATCTCCATCGAAGGTGGAGGTGTTACAGGCCGCTCCTGCTCCTGGTAACCATCGAACTGTTCAGACGGTGGGAATCCGAACAAGACTCCTTCACCGTCGAACGTTAGCTGAGAAGGTGGCAGCGGCGGGATCATGGCTGAGTCATGCTCGACAGGGACGTAGATCTCGGTCTCCGATTCTTGGAACGTCGGTAGTCTTGACCCGGATGCGACAGAGGCGGAGAAGAAAGGCGGTGGCGCATCGCGTTCTTCAAAGGGCGGAGGTGCTGCGCTATAACTGGGCCCCGGCTCACCTTCTGAGTACTGCGGCGCGTCACCGTCCTCCTGCCTAACGGTCCGAGTTGGAGGACGATCGTGCTTCTTATGGTAATCCATTGCCAAAGACTCTTCCACCTCAGGAAGAGGTGCAGTAGGCGGCAGTATGAGAATGGGGATAGCGATGGTGGAGACTCGCTCAGTATGTGAACGCATGTTCATGAAGGTCGCGTGAACAACAATGGAGAACGAGACGTCGTGAAGCACTGTAGATTGAGATATAGATGTGCACGACGTGCTGACTTCATGCGCGACATCTCCCGAGCTGGAAAGTGCATCCCCGTGTATTTCGTTTGAATTGTGTGGGGAATCCTCTTCCCGAGGGTGCAATACTAAGCGGATTTGAAGTGGGCGCGTCGGGTGAAGCCTGCATGAAGTGCCCGAAAGCGCGATGACTTCTCCGCCGCCGGGCGTGCCGATAAATTGGCGCAGGTCGAGGGCGTACGAAGTGGACATATCGTTAGATTTCTGAACGGGAACAAAAGCGGAAGTGTTTGGCTGGCTTTGTTGACTGTCCTCGGGTTCAGGCTTGTCCTTGGGGCTCAGCTCGACCATCCTGACGAGTTCCGCGCGTATATTCCGCAGCCGAAGTCCATCGTCCAAGATTAGCTCTCGCCTCGGAGACGGTATCGAAATGTACAAGGGTATGTGTTCTCTTGCTCTGAAAGTCGTCCGGGGTACCTGCACTGCGACTGGCGTGGGGTCTGTGATCTCCTGTGTTTCGGACATCACTTGCAGCATATCTGGGTGCGATGCATAGCGTCGTGTGTGGGCGAGTACTGTGCTCGAGACGGGAGCTTTGGCGGCGTCAGACGGATGAAGGGTCGCAGTTAGAGTGTATTCCAGCGCAGAATGTGAAGTGTGTATGCACTGCGGCGCGTCAGGCGGCAGTGGGAGGGAGAATAGATAGCTTTGTGAAGGTACTGCGGTATCATTCCCTTTTGAAGAGAATAACACGGTCTCGACTGAGATTAGGTCAATCTCAGTAGCCATGGACCGTTCAACACAGCGTAAAGCAATCGTCCTGCGGGGCGAAGTTTTTAGTCCATAACTACTGACTGTGCAAGAACATTGCAGCACGTACACTTGCCTCCACGAGTCATGATTTAAACCCTTGATGAGCACCTCTCCCTCGATAGCAGCCCGTTCCCCGTCCGCCCCGAGATACCCCTTCTGAAAGCTGAGCCCGCCTGAAGGCGGTACAATCAGAATCTGAGGCTCGTCTACATGAATTTCTCCGCCGGGATCGCTCAAGATATTTTGCGAGTACGTTGGTGGGGGTTCAGAAGTCATGCTGGTGATAGCTGCGGAGAAAAAGGGAATTTCGAAGAACGCCAAATAGATTCGTAAGTACTGTGCTGGATCATATTCACAGCATTCTCCGAGGCGCCCATAACTCGCGCCCGTTTCCGAAGAAGGGCCGAAGGCGCCACAAGGACAATGAAGTACTATTTGTTCACAGATGATGTAGAGGGTGTCATTAGTAGCGATATTACAAAGAGACATGTATGTACTTAGAGCCAACTATTCAGCAGAATGTGCGAACAGGTTAGAAGCCCTGAGTAAGCATGACATGGTCCACCGAAAACAGGGCTGCTGCAAACTTTTGGCCTGAACGAACCACGTATGACTGGGTGCTCTTTCAAGCCATCAGACGCGAGGGGATAGCTTACTCATGATGAGATTGACCTGTCCAGATATCAGATACGAAATCAATTGAAAAGAACTACGCGGCACTCACGTACACACGATTTTGTCACCGAGAGCGCGGTGCGGTATGTACACTGTATTTGTGAACAAATCGACGCGAGTGTGTTCCTACTACCTATAGTCGTGTGGGATGTCCAATCCACCCTATATCCGGTAAATAGAAGGAAAACCAGAGGGAGAATAGTAGCCATGACTAATAATTGGCTACACATTGACCTCGCAGTACCGCAGAATAGGTACACAACACTTCGATAGAGCTGACATTAATTGCAGGGACAGATTTAATCGCGTGAATAAAACGGTGTTATACGTGCGATCAAATGGCTGGATTGAGGCTCGGGCGAAACTATAAAACGAAGAAGCTGAGATGACAACGTACAGAAGAAGTGTACCCATCAGCGGCAGACTATCTGTCTCTCCCGACTAGTAATGAAAGCACAGAGGGAGCAACTCCGACGGAAGCGCGGTGGATTCGTTGATCTCGGCTGCACATTGACCCCAAGAAACCGTAGTGAAGCGGTAACCGGGGCTTCGATAGAGCCTCACCATCGCGATTTAAGTGACTCGCTGAAATGAAAGAAAGAGCATAACATACGGCCTAGAGTAATCAAAAACCTGTGCGACGCAGTGAGATACACGCCAGCCAGCGTTATAAAGTTAATTGAACACTTACAACATTGACAGTCGAACGGACAAAGAGGTGTGCCTGATGCACGGATTCATAAGTGTATTGACCGGGGGGAGAAAAAGACACACCTCCACTTTCGGCATTGATACCAAGCTCGTCCTCTTTGAATATAAGAAAACCATCCTCCGTTTTGCGCCCTAAGGCGAAAGATATTACAAGGCAAAATTAGAACATTTACCGCCGTCAAAGACATACTTGGCCCAGTGCCTCTGGAGTCCTTGAAGCGCTCCTCCTCCTCACGGTCGACTTTGGGTTTGTTCTTGGTTTCCGTCAACTGCTCGGGCTTGGGCTGCTTGCTGCGCTTTTTCAATGACGCAGCGAGCTGAAGGGAAGGGTCCACGACAGTCTCGGGGACTCTCTTTTTCGCAGGCTGCTCAGCAGACTCTGATTCGTCTGCCGTAGATTTTCCTTCCGCTCCGCGCTTGCGCTTCTTCACACTCTTTTTCTTCTGCTTCTCTTTCTCTGGGGCTTGGGAGGTAGACGGCTGGGGCGCTGACTTGGCAGTCGCGCCCTCTTTACTAGCGGCGAAAATGTCGTCTATCTCTGAGGCCGGCATGGATGAGAGGAGAGAGCAGACAAAGAGAATCTAGAAAAGGTTGGCGCAGGTTGGCGCGCGTGACGAGCTGAGCGCCTGCGAATAAGCGGCCGCGTTGAAATCGTGAGTGCGGATTGGAGACGGACAAACAAGATCTATAGGACGTTCGAGAGCTCGGGCAACGACGAAAGAGGCCCACTAGCGAATTTCATGCTGTGCGTCTCCTCCCAATTTACCCGCGCAAGCCTCTGATCTTCTCTACCAGTCCTCAAACCCCCTTTTCTCCTGCTCAGCCACCGCCGGCTTCGCCAGATGGTTCATTGTCTTTCAACAACCTTGACCCTTACACGGCCAAGCAGATGGCCGCGCTCCAGGCGACTAGTTTGGCAAAGGCGGGCAACCGCTACGCCCCAGGCGGCGGGACTTCGGCATCATCATATTTCGGAGGTTTATCGACGCATCAGTTGCCGCGGACAGATTCTTCCTCTAGTGCTCCTGAGCTCAACAATTTCCCTCCGCCCATATCCGCACAACAACAAGGCGCGCAGGGTCCGTCCTTGCACACTAACGTAAGTTCGCCGCACGCACCCTGCCCCACCTCACCGCTTACCCACACCTGTCGCCCACTTCAGAACATGAACCCCGCTGCAATGCAGCAGCAACAGCAACGGAAGAAACAGTTCCTCGTCGGTCTCGGAAACGTCATGTTACAGCGCGGTGTACCACTCCCGCCTCAGCTCACGGGACTGCCATATCCACCGGGTTACGACCCATCTACCTCACCGTGGCGCTCGCTCGAAGTATCCAATGCGGACCTCGGTGTATTTAGACTCGCGGGTAAGGACATCGACATATTCAGGCTGTGGGCACTAGTGCTGTCGTCGGGGGGTTCTATGAAGGTATGTCCTACTATCATCTTCGGTTTCCCGCGCGTCGTAACCTCCACCAAGCTCAGCCAACAAGGACTATGGGGACAGCTCCTACAACATCTCGACCTACCAGATCAGCACATGTCAACGAACGGACAACCGCAGTCCACAGCGAACACGCTGCAGCACTACTACATGCAATTGCTCGGACCCTTCGAGGAGGCATACCGGAAAAACCAGATGCGCGACCAGCAGCGAATGCAAGGCCGCGCCCAACCAGGTTTCCCTATGCCTGTCGCTGCTCAAGCGCGGCCACCCTCTATGGGCGGAATGCCTGGAACGTTTCCACCGGTGGGCACTCTACCGGCTATGGGTGGTGTCAATGGCTTAGACGTGATGGGTCAGCCTATGGGCGGCGGCAACTTACAGGTACCTGACCTCCCCGCTAGTGGTTTGAATATGCCATTTGCGACTGGCCAGGTCCAGAGCCCACAACGGCATGGCTCGCAGCCTCCAATACCTAATGGTCTCAATCCCATGACTGCGACCGCATCTATGTCGGACCTTAATGGCGCTGGCTCGGTGGACTTGGATATGGAAGGACGGAAACGCAAGATCGAGGAGACAGACGAAGGAAAGCGAGCTAGACAGAAAATCGGTGTGTCTGCTACTTCCCGCCTGCTAATATTGCATGCTAACATTCCCCTTCATCCATAGGCGAAGCTGCCAATGTACAAACTGTGAGTTCGGTTGTCGGGTTTTCCGCATCATCTCTCAAAGCATACCCAGGGTTCCGTCACGACACGAACTATCAGACAGCCCTCGAGACGAAAGATCGAATATGTTCCCCTCGCACGGGAAGTCGATAGTGCTGGCGGACGCGACTTGGACGCTATTCAACAGGAATACCTGCATGTTGCGCAGCGGCCTATCAAAGACCTGAATGACTGGGGAACTGTGGATATTGAAGCCCTGACATTGTCGCTACGCTCACGATTGTCGCACGAGCTGTCTTACGCGTTGGCCACTATGACTGTCCTAACGCTCGTGCCTTACAAGCAGTACTCCGGCTTTCCTATCTCCCAGACCCCAGACCTATTTGAGGAGCTCCTCGATGTCCTTGAGGAGACCGCATTCTCCGAACCGGAGGAGGACATGCCACGCAACGCACCGTACAAGCCGATCGTTACCCACCGACATCTCATCAAGGGGCTAATTGAGGAGGGCACGGATCCATTCGCCAGCCTGAAACCTAAGCAGGGTTTCAAGGATGCGAAAGTAGGACCAGGCCAGCGACCAGGAGACATTGTCATTGCCATAACCAACATCATTCGTAATCTCGCTATACACCACGAGATAAATGCCGAACCTATTGCTAAACACCATCGGCTCCTGAGCTTACTTCTCCGGTTGTGCAGCCTGAAGCCTACGAGCAGCGACTCGGTACCGACTCCTCTGTCGCCTGTTCTCACCACGAACGATCTCGTGACGATACGACGAGACGTCGTCAACGTTCTCCTCCACATAGGCTTCGCGGTCCGCTTTTCGACTTCGAACCTCCGAGATGCACGGAGGGCCATCGAGCTTTGTGCGTCTTATCTTGTCGACCCAGTCGATGCCATCCCCCCTTGGCCTTTGCTCTTCTCTCAAGGCCTGCCAGCAAACCTGCACCCCCCGAAACCGCCAACGATCATCGATACTGCCCTTGAGACGTTCACACGTCTGAGCCATCCTGATGACAATCGCCAGGTGCTCTTCGCTGCGATTCCGGAGAGCTGGTTCTGGGAGCTGCTCGAGTCGCTGGTGCACCGGCTACCAATCGAGAACAACGATTTCACCGTTATCCAGCGTGGAGACTGGCTCGCCTACCTCGAACGCGTCATGATGGCGATCTACTCGATCGCGTTCCTTGCGTCGCCTGCGCTCAAACAGCGGGTCAAGACCAACCGTCAACTCGCGTTCACCAAGGTCATGCTCCGCGTTATCAAAAAATTCACGATTTACGCGACGCCGGAGACGCGTGTGCACTTTGCGGTCGCTGTCCGTAGGGCAGTTGAGGCACTGAAGCTCGTGGACGAGGCAGGCGACTCATTCGACGTCACGCCGTCGGCGATGCCCACACTAACGTTCGGCATGGGGTATGGTGAGCACGGGGAGTCGCGTGTGGAGAAGGGCATGGGCCTTCTGAGTGGATACCAGGAAGAGATAACATGGGGGTTAATGATGCAGAGAGAGGTGGACGATCTGTTGTTCTCGGAGCTCTCTAGTCTTGTCAGAGTGCAACCGGAGTGACCTTGTGCGCTGCTGTTCTTGCATATGTCGTCGCTTTGTCTGTTGCTTTCATAATTTAGCCTTGCTTTGTATATGAGCTGTATAAAATTATACGGATGTATCTAGCAAGGATTGCCGTGGGGGTTCGTCAAGGGTATCTATCCTATCACAAACAACAACATTACCGCTGCCGTCGCCCCTGCGATCCGTTAGCGAAGGTGCAGATGTCGACAGGGAAAGAGCACTCACATGACGAGAGGTATCTCACCCTTATATATGTCGCCCAGAGAGAACCATCCGGCATAAGAAGTCGACTGGGCGACGATTGTATCTGAAAAGTCACCGTACGCTTGTTTGACATCCCACAAGCGTACGCAGCCGTCCGCACCGCAGGTGACAAGATTCAACCGGTGCGTACCATCATCGAGCCATTCAACCTTATAAATGCCGTACTGGCCGTCTTCCTTAGTCGCCTCCACCGCTGCGCCATGCGGAAACTCATAGAGAACTCTGCGTCCAAGGAAACGGGCGTCGTAGACGTGAGTGACGTTGTCGCTGCGCGCTATAGCGAGATATATCGAGTCGGGACTCAAGAGCACTTGCTGTACGCGCGGCTTGCAATCGAGATCCGGTTGCAGGGTGAATGGCGGTAGAGTGATATCTGTAATCGGTCGATGAAGATTCTTCAAGTCGTACAATGTCAGCTCGAAGATATTTTGCTCGCCACAGGTCGCATGTGCTAGCCATGTTCCTATGGTACGAGGGGTCAAGACGACAGCAGGCTGAGCATGGACAGATTGCTACCTGTCGGGTCCACATCCAAACATTCGCCCGCGGCAGTGTTGCCAAAAGACGTCCCCTTCTTGCTTCCTGTTGCCACGTCAAAGCACTTGTGGCATCCGGCGTACTCGTCTTCAGTCCCAGAAGTTGTGTATAACTTGTTCGAAAACCTTCCTCTTCCCCAAGCGACGGACTGTACTGGATGCCCTTCTGTTCCGGCATGAAGTGTCATCGGGGCATCCTCGCTGCTGTGAAGAAGACAGGTGCTATACAGCCGTTAGCTAAACCTAGAGCGGTGCCAAACACGAGCAAACGCACCCATTGTTTGTCCACGCGGCAAAGATCGACCCGCTAGGCTTGTACTGCAATCCCTCAGGAATAGCGTCCATATAGCGTGCCACTGATGATACTATGGTCAGGAGGGTTGCGTTGGCCCCAAAGGACACATACCTCGATGTCTCACAGGCCTCTCTGGATTAGCGCAGTTCCAGAGTATTATTTTCTTGTCTCTACCGCACGATGCAAAGCGAGTTGAGCTAAATTGCATGATCAGGAAACTGTGCGGCTGTGCGATGAAAGTCGCTTACTCGGCAGGGTCGAACTGAACGTCGTTGACCGTATACGTCTTCGTGTGGACATCTGCTACGTCTAAGACGTGAGTTGCGACCCACGCTGTGCTTTGTGAATACGCACATACCCCCTACTACCTGGTGTGGTGATCTGCTCATTTCGTGCTCGTGCAGTATTATTTCTAGAGATCGTGAAGCACTGCAGGTTCAGAGTAAGCCTGAGTTATCAATACATACCTTTGTTGTTATAAAGCACTTTAAGCGTGCCTTCCCTGTTATATAAAATATTTCGCTCTGCGAAACCCTTCCGTAGGTCAGCTTTCAAAGATATCCAGCGGGTGCGGACACTGACCGTCGTCCTCTACGTCTCCATCCAAGACACAACTTGCAACGATCGTTATTGGTCCACTTTGTGCAACGGTATTCACAGCTGGGAGATTTGCGATCAGGTTTCGAACAAGCGAGAACTAGATCTACTGACATCCTGGAGAGAAATGAGGCAACACCCTTCTTCGAGTCATCTCGAGCCGCGCTCTGGCTGTGGGCACGTTCAGACATGATCCAGATGTCCTCATCAATCTATGTGCTGGGATCATATTATATGTCGATGAATGCAAACCCGAGAGCTAAGTTCAAAGTTCAATAGCGAGAACTCTGAATATGAGAAAAAGTCAACCTTGGACCAGACTCTGCCAGTCTTAGTCGGATGGGTGTCGTACGTTGACCGTCCCACTCCACTGCGATGTCCAGAGAAAATCGAAGTCGCTGCCGCCTTTTCTTTCTGCCTCTGAATTGCCGGAAGGGAGAGTACGAGTTCGCGTGTAGATTGAGCCAGCTCCTCGTCCAGATCGCGGACAGTCTGGGATTTGCCGCGACCGGCAGGTCGAGTGTTCCACTGCATTCTCAAGCTCAGCTGAGGACGGCTCTCTAATGCCTTCGACGCGTGAACTTACGTTTGCATGGTTATTGATATCAAGTGCAGCATAATCCTCCTCTTCACCATCAGAAATCTCAATAGTCTCCGCACGTCTGGAGGGTACGTCCTCAGAGACGGCAGCTATACCTGAACTCGGTCTAGCCAGTCTTTGAGTTGCCTTCTCTGTCTGTGAGCGGTCTCAGTGTATGTAGTGCGACCGAAAGAATCTCGTACGCACGACTATTCTTATCCCCTTCTCCAATGTTCGTCTTAGGCTGGGCTCAGAGTTTTGTCGCACACTGCTAGTGGACGCAATCGGCTGGCGGCGGGATGGACCTGCAGTTGCTGGTACCGCCGCCGACTGGGGTTTGTCTTCGTCCCCGTCACTGGTTAAATCGAGAATCTCCTACATTGACAAGGTTACGGTTGAATGAGATGAACGTCATAGCGCGCGAAGCATACAGGTTCGATTTTGACTCGGACTCCACGGAATTGACCAGTGCATTCAATCTCGTCGTCACTATCCACCACGATAACCTCTGGAGGCATGTCGGAGGGTGTGTTGGTGATGAGTCCAGCTGGAATAGAATTTCAACGTTGAACGCGGTAATTAGAGTTGGGCACGCGAGAAGCGCGACATTTACACTCATGGTTTCGGAGGACCGAGTCCGAATGAGCCGCTTCGGATTGGACCTTGCCTCCCGCGTTCAGGTACGGCTTCGACCTACACCACCATGTTCGCAGCTCGTAACGTCGTTAGGAGGTTACCCCAGCGTTCAATCCGACGCTGGGCACATACCCAACCAACCTTCAACCCGGTCACAGAACAGGACATAGCTCGTTTCCAACAGATCCTCCCCGCATCCTCTATTCTTTCAACGCTAGCTCCCATCTCCACGCCTGTTGCTGAACTTTCCAATTTCAATAATGACTGGATGAACAAATACCACGGAAAATCAACCACTGTACTCCGTCCGTGCACAACCAAGGAGGTTAGCGAGATCGTTAGGTGGTGCAATGAGAGGGGGATCGCCATAGTCCCACAAGGTGGGAACACTGGCTTGGTCGGAGGTGGTGTACCCATCAAAGACGAGCTCATACTCAGTCTTGGGAACATGACCAAGATCCGCTCCTTCGACCCCGTTTCAGGTGAGTCATACGCCTTTGGCATGCAGCGACTGGACTAACGTTCATGAGCGTATAGGTATTATTGTTGCGGACTCAGGTTGTATTCTCGAAGCCTTGTCAGAATACCTTGCGCCTCACAATTATATCATGCCTCTGGACCTTGGTGCTAAGGGCAGGTACGCACAAGTTATTGTAACGTGCCAGATGTCGCGTATAATACCATTTCAGCTGTCAAATCGGCGGAAACGTTTCTACGAACGCTGGAGGCCTCCGCCTACTCCGTTATGGATCTCTCCACGGTTCTGTTCTGGGTCTCGAAGTCGTATTGCCCGATGGCACGGTGCTGGATCAGCTAACTACCCTCCGGAAGGACAACACTGGTATGTATATATCCATTCACGCTTATCTCCACAACTTATAGTAAACAATAGGTTATGACATTAAACAGCTGTTCATTGGTGCTGAGGGCACTCTTGGCATCATAACAGGTGTGTCGATCCTCGCGGCACCTGCTCCCCAAGCCTCAAGCAATGTCATGCTTGCTTTGCCCAAGTACGAGAATGTCCTGCCGCTGTTCCGCGAAGTCAAGCGCCAGCTATCGGAGATTCTTTCTGCGTTCGAGTTCATTGATCGGAGAGCGTACGAACTTGCCGTCAAACATGGGCAGGGACGTGCCCTGAACGATGAGGACGTCGAGGGCGCAGAGTGCTTCGTCTTGGTTGAGACCAGCGGCGGCAAGCGTGAGCATGACGAAGAGGTTAGACTCAAACGCTTTCGCTTGTTATGTAACATCCTAACACGGACGCAGAAACTCAACGGCCTGCTTGAGTCACTCATGGAGGCAGATGAGCCTCTAATCAATACGGGTGTCCTGTCTCAATCGCCTGCCCAATTCTCCCAGCTTTGGGCGATCCGTGAAGGCATTACTGAGGCTGTATCGAAAGAGGGCAAAGCATACAAGTACGATATCTCAATCCCTGTCGCCAGCTTCAAAGAAGCTGTGGACAAAACCAGGGAACAGCTTCGCTCGAAAGGCCTCCTCCGAGACGATGCTGTGAAGCATGTCGTCGGCTATGGCCACGTTGGTGACGGTGAGTCGGGTGCAGCATTCGGCCATGGAACTCGCTGAAGCTAAGAAAATTCAGGCAACCTCCATCTGAACGTGGTCGCCGCAGCATACACACCAGAAATCGAAGCGGCGCTCGAGCCTTTCGTGTATGAACTAGTCGGTAAGTATATGAACTTTCGGGCGGTGACCTGGCTCCGAAATGTCTAACCATTGCCCCTAGCGTCATACAAGGGCTCTATCTCTGCCGAGCACGGAATAGGAGTCATGAAGACTCACGCCCTTCCCTACACCAAGAACCCGACGAGCATCGAGATCATGAAGAGGATCAAGGCACTGTTCGACCCGAAGGGTATCATGAACCCAGGAAAAGTTCTGGAGTAGCCAAATGTACCGGGATCCATTCACAATCCGGAGGTCACTTTCGGGCTGTTATCCCTTCACGCAGGAGCAGGATCCCCTGCAAATGCTTATTGTTGCTCATGAGTGTGTCATAATACACAGCGGGAGAAGCGCGAAGCTAATCGTCGTTAGGATAGTATGCTGCTGCCACTGAAGAAATTAGGTGGGATGACGACATCTCCACTAAATTTAAGTTCACTAAAGCCTCAGGATCTCCATGGTCTGATTCATCGTCCTTTCAGTTTTCAAATTCGCCGGGGTAATGGGCGGCGTCTACATCTAAGCCGACCCACGTGTAACTATTCAACTTCACTGCAGATTGCAGTTCCATACAACGATCAGACGGAACCTCTGACATCAAGTAGTCGCCCCAGAATACTGAATTGACCAAACGCAAGGGCCCCTGGCGTTTAATAGCAGTGGTAGCATCTGTGGATGGGCCGTACTGGCCAGCATCCTCACTATCTGCGTCAATGGGCCCCTAGCTGGTGGACCTACTCCCCTACCGCCTCTCTCTTTTGCTGTGTACACTTCTAAACAATCCTGGGGCTTCTTTCACATTATTTTGCGCCGCCACCCCACCGCGTTCCGACCACTGGCGAGCGCCGGCGGCAAGCATAATATCGCCCTCAAGTGTGCAGCTGATGTTGACACCTTGAAAGCCACCGCGGTTGTCATGCACACAGCTGACAGGTCAGGTCTTGGTGGTGTATGCCATCACCGAGCCCGCGGTGGCGCCCGATGGCAACACGTCTGAAGGTTCGCCAGAAGTAGACCTTCTCAAGGACGGCCCTCTCCATGGCTCGATTTGCCTCGAGTGTTATCTGCACGAAAAAATCAACAGCGTACCCACTGAGGAAACGTATCATCATAACAGCATCTACCTTTCATAAACCTCAGCTCGAGGCGGAGGAGGAGCTGTTTGCTGAGAACTATCCGAGGATGCAGTGGGTCAAGGCCAAGTATGACCCGGGCATGATGTTCAACCAACGGTTTGTTATGCATCCTGTGGCGGCTTAGAGGATAAACAGCGTACGGCTTATGAATATTAATATTTATGGCGGATCATGTTTGGGCGGCTAATAGCCAATGAAGGAGAGGCGTCTGTCTAAAGCTCACGTAAGCACCTGTATATAAAGAGCGAGGCCCTAACCCCGAAGCGTATGTAAACCTAACTCTAACCCAGCCTTCGGTCTTCCAGTCAGTGTAGCTTCACGCCCGCCGCAATCAACATGGTATTTGCTGTTCTCTTCACGGACGAGAGAGCAATTGACAAGCGATCATTATCTTTCGCACAGCCTATCTTCCAAGATGAGAACGGCATGGCTATCAAGTTCTTCATCCAGAAAGACATCCCCCACGACATCCAGACAGAGGTCTGCGAGACAATTGCTGTTCGTAAAATTGTGTCATGTACTATACAACGTCGGTAGACTGACACGTCACACAGGCTCTTGGGGGAAGAGTAGAGTCCAAAGTACCGCGTGCCGGGTTCATCCTCATACAACCCGGCACCCCGGAAGAGGAACGCCTTCGACTCTGTTGGAACAGCCCTGACAGGCCAGATCGATACTTTGTGCCATACACTTTTGTCGAAGCATGCAAGGTCCAGGGGATGCTTTTAAGGCAGATTTTTATCCATGATGGCCAGCCCATTCGCATGCACATCGACCCGAGTATCGCAAACGTGAACGTGCGCGCTGCGCTTAGCCAACGTATTCTGGTGAGTACCGCACGAGTCCTCCACATGTACATCACGATCAGATTTATGAAAACTTTTTAAAGCATTCTGGAGGAGATCCCTCCGCGTCCCCACAGTCCGCCAGAGTCATCTTGGCGGACCCGAACACCGAGGTTTTCCAACACTTGGTCAAGACTTATCAGAACGAGCAGGACAAGTTTGTCGAATCGTACCTCTGGGTGAAGAGATGTATCGAGAAGGTGTATGTGTCTTACACGCCGTTGGTGTACAAGAATCCTGGTGGGCGCAGAGCTGGCGAAGAGTGAGTCCACCCGTCGTGTTTGTTCTCCTTCCTGACAGCTGCTTCAAATGTCTAGACGGACACACTTCACTGAAGAGGACGAAACACACTTATGCAACTGGATTGCGATGAAGATTCCCTTCAAGGAGACAGGGGGTAGAACTGGCAATCGCCTCTACCAACAACTGTGCGACATGGTACGTCCAGTTGTTCTTGTCACATGGTCGGCCCTGACCCCGTGTCTAGGCTGGCGATCCCGACTACTCGTGGGTTACTCGTCATACGTGGCAATCCTGGCGTGAGAGGTACAAGAAAAACGCGGCACGGCTAGATGTGAAGATCGCTGAGATCGTGGCACGCAATAAACCAGTGGTTGGTGAGAAGGGCCAGTATGGCTACATCCGCAAGCCAGAAGAGAAGGCGAAGCGCAACAAGCGGAAAGGACGCGACGGCGAGACTGGTCCTTCCAACGAGGAGCTCGAATTCATCTCCGCGTCACCTACCCTTGCACCGGTGCCTGGGCAACAACCCATCACATCCAGTGGCATACCGGGTCCCAGCGCGTTTGATCCTGTTTTGTACGATCCGAGGCTTGGTCCACCGCCGAATTTCGCACCACCGCCACCGCCCCATATCCCTCCGCCAGAAGTCGTTGTGGCGCGTCAGCACGCCGCTGAAGAGGAAGACGACGAAAACGAATGGCGTACCCGCGAAGGTCAGGATCCCCCGCCGCAACTTGCCCGGAGGGCTGAGGAGGAAGAGGAGCCCCCTAAAAAGAGACAGCGGTCAACGTACGCAACCTTCCCTTTGTGTACTTCATGTTTACTAACCGCTAGTCCAGTTCGGATGACCCTGGCGTGTACACTGTCGCCCCAGTTGTGCTAGATATCGCCAATGAGTACCTGTTCACCGTCAAGGAAGTGAAGGAGTTTTACGACAAATGCGGCGGTGATGTGGAGCGTACCAGGAGCCGCTTCCGGAGGTTCAGGGAGCTTTTATCCCAATTGCCAGACTATCATGTCCCAGAGCTTCTACCGCCAGCGCAGGACGGACAGCCTGTACTAACGAGTCAGCCGCTGCAAGTTGATCAGCCTGTAATCAATCATATACCCGCTTCAAATCCGCCGCCTCAGCTCAACCAGGCTGCCCAAGGCCAAACAGACCAGATGCCACCGCTGGCCCAGGTACCCCCTCCCAATCACCTTTCGCAAGTCACTCAGTTACTCAGTATGTCCCAGCCCACACCAACTGTCCCCATGCTGTAATGTCCCATGTACAGTGCATCCCCCATATTTCGCCCAAGGACTACTCCAAGTACTAGCATGCCTAGCCTTATATATTCAGTCGGATTTATAGCTCACGCTACCAATAGACATTGCTCAGTCGTACTACGGCATGTCAAACTCAGTGAGAAGTTTGTAATCGGCGGCACGTGCGGGTGCAGAAGGACTCTTGTAGAGCTTTTGTCTCCTAGACAAGTGTACTAAGCAGTTAATCTCGCGGAAGCACGAGGGCAGGACGGAACGTACTTCTCTCCGGCTGCTGCTGAGGGGAAAGAGCCGAATAAATCTGGGTGCTTCGGGTATGGTGATTCACTGGGAGGCATGTCACTACGATGGATGGACAGGGTGACACGTTGTACAGACCTGAAGTAAGGATGCTTTAATGCCTCTTCTGCTGTTATCCTCTGCTCAGGGTCATACGTCAGTAACTGAGACAGCAGGTCGAGCCCCGCTGTTGTGATGTACGGGAACTTTTGCCGCAACTGTGAGGGATATGGGGCGGGAAGGTTCATTGTCTTAGCGAGAGGAAGGCTCGAGTACTCTGGCCAAGTCGTGCCTGTTGGGGGCCCCAGGAGTTTGAAGATCATCGAGATGAGTTCGAGCTCGTTCTTCGCCTGGAAGAGCGGCTCCTTGAGGAGCAGCTCGGCAAAGATGCATCCCACGGACCACATGTCGACGGCGGTCGAGTACGTGGTGGCCCCAAGCAATATTTCAGGCGCACTGTTGAAAGCAGCTTAGCAGGGGCAGCGTCCGACCCAAGATTCCACAGACTTACCGATACCACAGAGTTACGACTAGCTGTGTCAACCCGCCAACGCCCACAGGATCCCCATATCTTCTGGCCAACCCGAAGTCGGCAACCTTGATTGTCCCACGATTGTTCATGAGAAGGTTGCTAGTCTTGAGGTCGCGATGTAGGATCCAGCGCTCGTGACAAAATGCTACAGCAGAGAGTAGTTGGAGCATAAGTGTCTTGACTTCTGACTGCAAGAAGGGAGAGGGCATGACAGTGAGGAGGGTTTTGAGGTCATGTTCGATAAAGTCCATGACTATGAACACCCTTTCACACGCGGCATGCTGAGGTAGGTCTTGTGTGCAAGGGTAAGCGGGGCTTACTGTGTCAAGGTGTCGCCGACGACGACCTCGCGTATGCCAACGACATTCTCGTGTTTGCAGGTCATCAGCGCGTTGATTTCGCGCAGGGCAGTGATAGGGAAGCCGTGCTTCTCTTCATCGAGCTTGAGCTTCTTGAGAGCGACGATATCTCCGGTCTCCTTCTCTCTCGCCCGGAAGACGACACCGTAGGAGCCTTCCTCGATAGAGTTCAACCGTTCGTAGCAGTACACAGAACGCGAAGGCACGATAGGCGGATGCAGAGTTCTCGGTGGAACATAGGTGCTATGAGTTGGTCGTCTGCGCTCCACGCTGACCTGGCGAGAGGCGGGTGCGGAGGAAGGTATGCTCGCAGGCGATTGGGACTCGGGAGGAGGCTTGGATTTGAGACGCTTTGTTGCTACGGGCTTTTGTGGCCCTTCCGAGGAGTGGTCTTCAGCGTCCCATCTTGAACGCTTTTTCGCGGGTGTCGAGGGGCCAGGGCGGGACTCGTCGGAGGACATTTTGCGAGGAGGATGGTGGTGCGCACCGCAAGGGCTCTGGCGCTTCTGCCACGCTCAGATCTCGCGCGATCTGTGCGCTTACGCGTGAGTGCGGGGAACTCGCCTACCACCAGCCAAATGATCGACTTGCTTGCTTTCGCTCTTTCATCTTGGCCTTGTTGATTGAGGCATTGAGGAATTAATGACCCAAGACTGCACACCATGAAGCCAAGCCTTACAAAGTTAGCCTCGACTGACCCGAGCGACTCTCCGACGGAAGAACGTTGGGGAGGTAAGTACAACCTCCTATCGTCGCCTCTGGGAACACATTATTCGCTCTAGTGCATGAGTTCTGCCAAAATCCTTTTCGTGCGACTCGAAACACCATGCGGCTAGGTTCGTTCGCGCACATAAGGGCCGAGTTTTAGGTGACGGTTACTGAACGTTTACACGTAGATTGTGTCCTAGTCGCCCGACCACCACACAAAAGGCGTAAGACAACATTAAGATTACTCTTACTCTCTGTAACATTCTTGGTGTCCAGGTCGTATAGATTCGCAGGCTGGGCGAACTGATGTCACGGCGCCCACCAGCCAGAGGCCGATGCGCCCTACTGTCTCTTTATCATCAGTTAAGAAACAGCGCGCCTCATCCGCTGGAGCTGTAACGAAAAAGACGCCTTTCCAGCCAACGGGCTCAGGAAAATCGACAGTGGGATCCACCACCACAGCTGCTACGTTTGGTTTGTTGACGCCCACGTCGACTGCAACCGCACAGCATACACCCAACGATGCGCCCTCGGGCACTGAGAAGGGCCATCCAGCGATTCCAGAGTCTGATATCGTTTATGGGACCAACCCAGATAGCGAGCCGCTGATCTTGCCCACAGCCTCTACAAGAGCTGCTTCGCAGGCGCCGGCTTCATTGCTTGCGGCCAACGAACCTCCGCCTGACGTACTTCTACGACAATCACCCCCGCATCGGCAGGACGTCCCTGGGTGCGATGGGCTGGAGAACGCAGATCCCTCGCTAGTCAGCTTTGAATTGCTGGACGTCCCAGACTTGCCTTCCTGGGTTAGCACGAGTGTACCCTCGCTCGACGATACCGGCCGTCTCTCCCAGCAGGAACGGGAACTGTACCTCCCATCTGGCGTGTCCTCCGTCCTCACAGGTGTGCGCCCCCATTCCGACACCCGTCCCTTCCCATACTGACTCACGGTTAGCAATGAAACACTCCCTCGCCTCGGAACGTGCGGCGCGCCTGCGCGCCGAGACCCTGTACGAGCTGGAGACACGCCTCCGCGCCGCAGCCCAGCGCAAGACGGAGCACGAGGCTCTCCTGCGCGCACGGGCCGAACGCGAGGCGGAGCGCCAGCGCGCCGAGAACGCGCGCATCCAGCGGCGGCACCGGGAGTGGATCTCCGCGACCTCCGCCTCGCTCGTCGACAGTCTCACGCAGTTCAGCGAACGGCTCCTCAAGGAGGCCGGCGCGCTTTCCCGTCCCTTGTCATCCACTCCGGCACCGCAGGCAGCAAAAACCTCTTCCGCCGGAGATGCCGCAGACTAACCGGCGATGGATGTCACAGGCCGGTGAGTGTCTGGAACCGTACCTGGGTGTTCAATAGCCTCAGCTTAGATTATCTGTATGACAGGAGCACTGCCCCATGGGCAAGCTAGTACGTACTACGTAGAATGCGGGAACATCGATCGTTCCTCATGGATTATCGCAGGTACCCCAGCCTCACGAGTCACGCAGGCACCCCCGTTCCTTCGGAATGGAACCGAAATACAAAGCATGGAACGTTGTACAGATGCAACAAATAGGACCCATGTGTCTGGGATTAGATTGGACTGCTGGGGCTTGGCAGCAGGCGATGCTCGAAACTACTACACTATTCTTGTATATATACAATATCGCGTAATCTGGACCGCAACGAATGCGATGGCTAGTTTTGGCTACAACGAACCGGTGGTAATACAGAGTACGAGAGAAGCGAGAAATAAGGATATGTGACAATCACTAGGAATACGAACGGATGCTGCTGTAGGTGGGAGGAAGTATGCTGAAATGTAAGAGCAACGGTCGGAAATTGTAACAAAGAGACCAAGAACGAAATTAACCACTATGATTCATATGAGACCGATAGGAGGAGAAAGACGATACAGCAAATTCATATCCTTTGGTTGAATCGCAGACGAGATAAGTCCCTTGGATGTCCGGGTTCGACAGCGTGCTCTTGTACAACTTGTCGTTGGATGATACGTTAATGCCACATCTCTCCGACGAGAGACTCGTCAAGGCTAGTCTGTTGCGCATCCAAAGCGCGGACGGCCCCATAATCATTAAGCCCACCGGCGCCGTTCGCCATGACGAGAGTAAGGGCGGCTATTGCCTTCTCAGAGGGAGACGTGTTCGGTTGGGAGTTCGAGAAGAACGGGTGACCACCGAGGACGGAGGAATCTACGAAGGGCGCCGGATGGGCCGGTAGGGACACGAGTGAGGAGCTAATCGAGCTCGATGTCGAAGACGAGAGCGCAGGCGACTCGTCGTCGGTGGAATATCCGGAGGGTGTGTAATAGCTGTCGTGGCCGGGGGAGGATAACCGCGCGTCGACAGCGTCGTGGGGAGCGCTATAGACCGGCTGGTCCAGATCCATCTCGTCCTCCCCATCATCTCCCACCCTTGATCCCAACTCGGAGGCCCCATCAGACACGAGGTCACCGGATACGATCTGTATGTCATCCTCGTCATCGTATAGGTCCGGTTCAGGGACTGCCCACGGTGTCGGCGCCACACTGGATGCACGTTCCATCTCGCCCACGAACGCGGCGGGTGATGGTGCAGGGCCTGGATGAACGTGCTCGCGCTCCCAGTCGCGCATCCGGCTGACAAGGCAGTCTCCGCTCTGCTCGACGCTCCGCTGGAGCTCGCCGAATGCCGACGTACGCAATCGGCAGGCATCCTCATCCGGTGATCGTAGCGGCATGGCGGGGAGATCTGAAGCAGAACGGGACGCTGGGGAGGAAGGGTGGGAACCGCTTCTGCTTTGCCTTGGGCGCGAGGGGAAGAGCTGGAATGCGTCCGAGGTGCTGGGGAGACTGGACGGGGGCACAAAGGCCCACGGCTCGCGGAAGACAGGGCTTGAGCCAAAGAGACATGGACCACGAGGACTTGATAGAGGTGACTTGGTATAATAAGGCTAGAGTCAGCGTCCCTGATCGTCGCTGTGCCCAGGGCGGGTATGCTCACCGAACTATCCCGCCTGGCCATCTTGCCCCGCCTCCATCTGTCTACGTCCCACTTCTCTGCAGGCAGGTCTGACACGAAGTCTCCGCAGGAGGAGTTATGCGCATTGCTTGCGCGCGGTCGCTTGGACGCTGTGCACCATCTGTCCGACGAATGATGTCGAGAAGTTGGGAGAGGGGATGATGCAGAGTGCGACCGGCGACGGTGGGGCGACAGACGAGCAGAAGAGGACATGAAAAATCACGACACTTGTGGTTCGGATTGCGAGAGCTGGTGAGGGTATTTGTGGGTGATGTTGACTGCGTCGGACGAGGAATGGGTCCGAACGAGCACAGTCACGGCGGGAACCAGGATGCTCCCAAGGCGCTTGGGGTTTAACACTGCAAGCCACGCTCGGCAGTCTCCGAGAATCCATATCCGGCAGGTGGCGTTGTTCACCGACCTGCTATACCCGGGAACCCGCTACTAATCTTGGAGCACATGTGGGTGACCAGTCAGAGCTGTACCGAGCACGGTCTTGCACAGTGTCAGTGACAAAGACACTGCTCTCCCTACTCGCCCAAGGCGGTAAGTACTCGGTCCGATCTTTACCCCACAGACATCTTTGATGCCGCCAGCAACAGGTAGCTCGACGTTGGAGACCGCCGGCTCATCGTCGGTCTTGGCTTCGCGAAGTAGGGCCTTCGTCGCCGAGTATAATACGGGGAGAACAGCTGGTGTTGCTGGCACAACTTCCCTTTGACAGTCTCCGAGATAACCTGAACGAAGGCCATCTGTGCCTTGCTGACCCTTACGTCTGCCGCAAGTGCGACTATCCTTTGGGATGGCAGGTTCAATACGGGACGTCGTGTGTGCTTAACATGTCCTGCGCAGGTCGAGCGCGTGGACTGGTCCGCTGTCGTCCCCAAGCTGTGAAACTCGCGGGTCACACTCAGCATTCGGAGATCTGTGGCTGCTACTTGGGATGTTTGTGACGCTCATGTAAGGACATGCTGTATTTTGGATACAAGGATCGTCTCCGTCGCACTTGCTTGGCAGCCGCCCGACGTGCTGCGCTTGACATCTCTTACGGTTGCGTCGTCGGCCCCGAGTCCTCGACCGTAGACCCCGTTATAGTCAGAGTCCGTCTCCGTGATGTCCTGCGTCATGCCGTTCAGCGGGAGTACTTCTCAGTGCACCTAGAGTAGTGCGCAGCGCGTCAACGTTCGCCAGTCCGGACTGTATATCCAAGCCGGAAATAGCTGATAGAGGGTCTACCGACGTGCCAGTCTGTACCGCCGTCCCCGCCCAGGGACCCGGTGTGGGCTTCGGTGAGCATCGCGCTTCCCGTCGAGACCCAGAGGCCGCCGAGTGTGCCGGTCTCGAGGACGAAGTTGTACCAGGTGCCCGTAGTGGGCAGAACGCTCCAGTCAGCTGCCAGGCGTTTGGGTGACGAGGGCCCAGAGGGCGAACCGGGAGGGCTCACGGCTGGGATCCAGAGCGAGACACGGAAGTAGAGGTGGCCCGTCGGGCTGTCCGTCGTCTGCGGGAGGACCTCGGTGCGCAGCATGGGGGCCGCCGTTCCATGGCGAGGTGCCGTTCATTTTGATCTTGACGCCCTGCTTCTCGCTGCGCGACGGAGCACCTTGAGACGACGTCTCCCGCAGAGAGGAATGGAGGGCTCTTGTTGGCAGGGTTCTTGTGCTTGCTACCGAACGCGAGCCACGAGGAGGCCATGTCGCCGCGAAGGCTGCCATAGTCCCGACCTGGTTGCTCCAGCTCCATTAGTCAAAGTCGGCTGCGGTGCTGTCTAAGCGACGCGCTCTGGACTTGAGAGCAAGCGTAGGGCGTCAGATGCACGCACGATTGATAACACCGCAACAAAAAGACGTCTGACGCACCATCTGGGGTACCAAGTCGTCGACGGTGCGCGCGCCGATGAGGCGCATGCACATGTAGATCTCGCGCTCGAGGATGCGTATGACTTTGACGACGCCCTCGGTGCCGTAGGCCTTTTTATTCACATGTCAGCGCCGCGATCTCGAGGTGAGAGAGGAGAAAACACCCACGCTCTGCGCGTACAGGAACGGCCGTCCGAGGCCGACGGCCCTCGCGCCGAGACAGACGGCCTTGAGGACGTCGCTGCCGCGGGTGATGCCGCCGTCGATGTAGATCTCCATCTTGTCGAACAGGTCTGGGCGCTGCTGCCGGATCCTGTAGAGGACCTCGAGCGGGGGCAACGAGCTGGGAGGGAGAGTGTGTGAGCTAAGGGGGCGAGCGGGGAGAGCCAGCTGCTTACTAGGGCATCTGCCGGCCGCCGTGGTTGGAGAGCAGGATGCCGTCGACGCCGGCCTCGGCGGCCAGGACCGCGTCTTGCACGCACTGGACGCCTTTGAGGAGGATGGGCATCTTGGTGACGCTGCGCAGCCAGGGGATGGTCTGGGGGCCTCCGTCAGTGCCAACTCCCCGCATAGACAGGGAAAGAACCTGCCTTGTCCCAGGTCATGTCCACATCGTCGTTCGCGAGGAACGCGCTCGCGGTGCCACCCGTGTCGACGTCCTCCTCGACTTGCTCCAGCTTCTTCGTCGTCAGCGGCATCTCGGCCGAGCCCCCCTTCTCGCCCGCCTCCGCAGCCCGCTCGAGCTCCTTGAGCTCCCACGCCGCGCGGGCGTCGCGCTCCCTGTTGCCGGGGAAGGGCGCGTCGACGGTGAGGAAGATGGCCTTGTAGCCGAGCTGCTCGACCTCGCGCACGCGCTTGGCGGCGGTGTCGTCGTTCTTGTTCTTGTAGAGCTGGAAGAACATGACCTGGTCGGGCGCGACGCGGGCGCCGGCGATCTCGGCGTAGGAGAGCGACGCGTTGGACGAGACCATCTGGATGATGCCCGTCCGGCCCGCGCCGCGCGCGATGTTCTTCTCGCCGTCGGGGTGCCCGAGCTTTGCGAGCCCCGAGGCGCTGACGAAGATGGGCAGGGCGGACTTGTAGCCCAGGATGGTCGTCGAGGGGTCGCAGTTGGAGAGCGGGCGGAGCACGCGCGGGTGGAAGAAGAAGCGCGAGAAGGCGCGCGCGTTTTCGTGGGTCGCTGCGAGCGTCGTGATTAGTAGTGTGGGGCGGAGAAGATAAGGAGGGGAGACGTACTGAGCTCGTCGTCCGAGGCGGAAGCAAAGTACGCGAAGGCCTTGTACGGCAGGACTTTGCGGGCGACTTGCGCCATGTCATGGAGGTTGATGATGTGGCTCAGAGGGGGCTTGTTGGCCTGCTCTCTCTCGGCGCGGGTCTCGTCCGCGGATTTTTTC